TAATAAATTAAATATAATAAATATAATTTATTGAAATTAACCCAGTTGATGAAAAAAACTCGAATCTTATATTTTTAAGAAATTTGTAAGTTGAAGTAATGAAGTTCTAACCATTTTTAAGAAGTTTTTACATTTTTAATTTATAAAAGATTTAAAAAAAAATTTAAACTATTCACAATTTTATAAGTTTTTTAAAATTCGAAAATTATAGAATGAAAATTTTCAGAATTTACATATAATGAATTCTAGAAAAGATGTAGACTTTTTTTTTAATTCTATTGCAAATATATTATTATTATTATGTCTATATAATACAAGAGAAAGAGAGATAATAATAATAATAATAATAAAGTTTAATTGCTGTAAACTAGTAGATAGACATATTGGCTACGTTTTTAAGGTACATTTAATTTAATCATTAATTTAATCATTGTGTGTTATTACTAAATTCACTTTTTTCATAGAAATATATTTTTCTGATGTTACGATTGGCGTAAAAATCATATGCGAGTCACGTCTTATCGCGACTGAATTCATATCACTACGAAGGTGTTCTCAATGCGTTCCGGAACTTTAAACAAATTGCTGTATCACAACTGTATAATTATTAATATTTAGGATGCGGTCCACTTGATGCTTCGAAGCATTTGATTGATCAATCGGAAGAAAGAATTTTACTAATTGACCAATCAAAAAATGTTTCAAAACATTTATAGCATCAAGTAGTCTTAATTCTCTGAAAATTCAAAGAAAAATAAAGACGAAACGTACGAAAGATTTAAATTAAATTTTATAAACAAAAGTTTTCCTGCAGCATTTAAAAATACTTATTATAAAATATAAAATATCGACTTGATTACCGCTTTTCATCAAATGAAAAAATAATTAATAACAAAAAGAAAACAACTGAGTCATATTGCGTTGACTCTTTGTCCACATTCCATCATGACAATCATATAATTCATTAATTTATTAAAGATATTCTTGATAAAATTTCAGGTAAAGCGTAAATCTTATAGATTTGAGCGTCTCTGTTCATCCTGCGCGAAGTTACGTAACTCTTTCATGCCATTCTTCGTTTCCATTCCCCTCCTTCGTGCGCGTAAAAAGTCCAGCAGGCGCGATCATCGAGTCATCGAGTATTATCGAGATCATCCTCGTGGGAATGGCGGCATGGACAGCGGTGCGGGGAATCTCGCCTCGAGTCACAGGTATGTATTATGGAATTAGAAATCCGTTCGCGTTCCGTCCCACGCGGTTTCGTTAGCTTCGTATCGCGCGCTCATGTACGAAACGTAACGAAACTTGAGTCGCGTTGTATATACCGGCGTATTACCGGCCGAGGCTGTGCGTACTTTTTCGCTCTCTCTGGTGCTCTTTAGCATGAGAGAGAGGGAAAGAGAAAGAGAGAACGTGCGAGTGCACCGCGCTGTGCCGTGAAGAACGTGCTGCTCGATGTGAGCAAGAAACGTTGAGCAAGCATCTTTCACGAGTCTCGGCCGTGTTAATCTTAAGACACAACTACGAAAGCGGGGCGCATTCACGCTCATTCTTGTGTATATGGCTTCAGTTGAGGAGCTAGATCATCAGGTCGACAGCGGCATGGGCAGCAGCGACGCGCGCTCTCCTGAGGTGAAGTCGCTCCTCCCTGACGATGAGGATGATGACGAGGAGGTATAGATGAGAACATTTTTATGCACAGGGAGAGAAAGATGATCGCTTGGAGGACAGAATTGTGAACTTGTGTTATGACATTTGTAAAATCCAGAATATTTTGAAGGATCAATAAGAATCTTCAGGATCCTCCATGTGATCTTGCTGATCTCCTTTGGTACCTTGTGGTACCAAGGATCACTGAGAAGTATTATTTAATGATAAAAGAAAAACCGGCTTTCTGTCCCTTTGTCTGGTATCAATATTTATAACTATATCATCTATGCACATTATATACTTTCTGCTCGACTAAGATTTACATGAATGTGATGCTTTCCTTGTCTAAGATTAAAATTAATGAAATGGTTATAATATCTTATGATATTTTTGTTGCTCCCTTTTTAATTAATAGTAACAAAGTAATTGCTATTTTTCCATTATATGTTTTATTATTTAGGAGTTAATTAATGAAATTATTCCTTTTGATTCAGGATGAGAGCTTAACGGAGAGATTATTAGGACTTACTGAAATGTTTCCTGAGCCAGTACGTAACTTTGGATACAATGTTGGAACCTGCCTATACACATGTATCAAAGGTAATTATTTTCTTAAGCCTAATTTTACAAAGTGCTTTCTGTTTCTTGCTTTTTACCTCTTTGCTTCTTATCTTATTTTTCGTTTTTTATTGCTTGAGAAAAGTTGATCAATTTCGGAAGAAACAAGAAATAATTGTCAATAAAACGAATATTGATAAAACGGTTGCAAAAATGAAAAAAGGCAAGAAGTAAAAAGTAAGAAATGGGAAACAAAATTGTAGAATAGGATTTAAGATACAAATAAGTTTTAAGATACAAATATATTTTTCAAGATACGTAATAAAACTAGCAACTGATAAAACAAGAATGATTATACATTTATACAAATATATCTTTGCAGGTTTATATGCATATTCGTGTTCAGCCACATGGCTAGTCTTCAGTTCGTCTACAATTCTTTTCGCGCCAATTATCTTTGAGATGGAACGCGCACAGATGGAAGACTTGCAACGTACACAGCAGAAGCAAGTTCTCTTAGGCCCTAACACAGCTCTGTCTGGTGTAAACACCACGGGTCTTCCAATGGCACCGCCTGTTCAGCGATAGACCATTATATTATAAATTTACACGTGCACGCATACAAGGACACGTACAGAAATGCCCATTCTATCAAAAAAAAAAAAAAAAATAATAAATCATTCGAGTTTCCTCACTCAATTATTTATTAGCGCAGCTCTGATACATCATCGAAACTTTTACGTAAATCGCGAATAAATGATTTCTATTGAATGACAACTTGCGTGAATCGAGCGCGTGTAATTATTTCTTTAATTGGAGTAACTCTTGCAGAGTTGCGCGATACGAAAAATTTAGAGTAAATATAAATTTGGTTCGAAGAACATTGAATTGCAACATTTGTTGGTCTAGTCCACTTTCTACATTTACACACATATACTTACACACATGTTGTTCCTTTTGATAATTTTTACTAAAAACCAACATGTATTGTGGTATTGCGTGACATTTTATTTTATTAAATACGTTGCGGTGGCGGCGGTGATAGCGCTTCGTTTAACAAAAAGGAAACGACTCCGTCATTCTATTCGCTTCGTAAATAAATGATTGAGAAAAAAATTGAGCAATTATTTGTTACTAGTTACTACATACGTTGCTGAAAACGCGGTAGTCATATCGCGAGTGTTATTATCTTTAATATGTCTTGTCTGTTATATTGTAATTTCAAAAGAACAAATAAAAGATATAGTGAAGTAGTGTCTTTAATTGCATCGTGTCATATCGATCTTTCGTCGTGTAATATTTCTGTAAAGTTAACAAATAAAAGAGCCTTATATATCATCTATTTTTTCCATAATTGTTTCATTATATAATTTATATTTGGAAAAAATACGATTTCCAATAAAAATAAATATTAAGACAATAAATTAATTATAAATATAAGACAATAAATATCATTAAATATAAAAATAAATATTAAAAAAAAACAAAAACAAACAAACAATAAACAATTAAATAATAAGTATTACAATACACACATTTACTTATACACATACACACACACACACACACACACA